CCTGCAGGGGAAAACACAGAGGTCACCACACCAACACCGACTAATAACCTCTGACATTTTGAATCATGTGACGGACCGCAAGGAGCTGGGAACTAAGTTACTGACATCAGATCAGAGTAACAAAACATTTTGGACACAACAGTGGCAATTCAGAAGCATTTTAACAAACACAAGGAACGCATTTCTCAGAAGTCACTTCAAAAGAGAAAGAAGACAGGTTTGACAGACTTTATCCAACGTGGACACTGGAGCATTAATGGTGAAGCGGATGAAAGATGCAGTGACTGTGGAAAAAACACACAGCAGTGTTTCCTCCAGTAAAGGTGGTATAAAAATCTTTGAAACATAACCACAGTGAAGAAGGAGGTAATTCCTATAGGTATGTTTTTTAGTGTTAGTGATTATTCAATGTTGAAGGAAACACTGGTGCATCCTGACATGCATACAAGCCAGCTACAGACAAGTCATAAGTCCTCTATGTGCATGCAGTATGAAGCAGGCCTCGGTCACACAGCTGTGACCCGTCTATGCAGTGACACAATCAGCAGCAATTTAAGCAACTACATGTGACAACTGACCAAAAATACTGTAAACAAACACACTTTTGCTTACAGCAATCATGCAAATCATATGCGTGGCATCACATTCCCATCAGGCTGCGAAAACAGAACTGAATCTGATGGTTTCTGACACTGAGGAAAAAGAATGTGATGTCCTGCTGTGCTATGTGACGGCAAGAAAGCAGCAGTCATATGCTCCTGTACTAGGCTGTCAACACTGACTGTGAACTCAATCTCAAATTCTGTATTTAATTGACTGCTGAATTTATTTTTTTTGGCATTTATGGGAGAATTTAATGAAGTTTTTATTGCCTGATTGAACTTCTTAACTTCCTCTCCTTTGCTCTGAACTCTCACACACATTTCTGGCTTCGGATTGAAAGCAAGAGGGTTTTAATAAGGTCTTCGCTAAACTGTCTGTTGCTCTATTCTTCAATCTTTATCTGTTTGTTTTTCCTCAGACACTAGTGTGTCGGATCAATCGGTTTACAAGACAAACTACTGAATAGTTGAGCGGTCAGGGTCGAGCACATGGCCTGCATCAATTCATCATTTGCGATGCTTCACAGTGGAAACCTTCGGACAGTTTCCAATCACGTGTCTTTCATACACGCTGGATGAGTCAACTGTGACTATTACAGTAGCAGGTCATTTCTGTGTCAAATTCCCCAAGTCAGGCTTAAACTGTATTCAATGGAGGTCTATTCCACAAGTGTGATGCAAAAGAAAAAGATTCTGTCAAGTCATTTTAATGAAAGATGTTCTCGAAAGAATGACTTTGTGTTTCAAAATAATAAGAGACGCATTCAAAAGACTGATTTACTTATCTCAAAGTAATGACGTAGTATTTAAAAATAATGAGAACCTTTCTATGAATACTGACTCAGTATATTTTCTAATTATTTTGAGATACAAACTCATTATTTTAAGATTCTAACTCATTATTTCGATAAGGTTTCTCGTTATTTTGAGATACTAACTTATTATTTTAGAATACTCATTTTTTTTAATAGTTTCTCATTATATATTAAGATACTAAGTCATTATTTTGAGATACTACCTGTTATTTTAATAAAGTTTCTAATTATTTTTGAGATACAAAGTCATTTTTTCTTTTTTTGTCAGTATTTTGATTAAGTTTGCCATGTTTTTGAGATACTTATTCATTATTTCAAGAAACTTTCTCATTATGATGACTTGAAGGGACCTTTTTTGCCCCTTTCATCACACTGGAGGAAATGAGCATCTATAGTATTCAGCAAGGAGCAACTGAGATTGAGTTAAACACAATATTGTCTGAACCCTGAACTTGTATAACTTTAAGACATAACTGATCTCTTCTCCTTGATTTGGTTGAACATATAAGGGTTTATAGTTGCTAAACTCACTACACACTAAGAGAAATGCCACTAAGGGTCTTGATGGAGTGATGATCAATAGGAGCAACAGACACAGAGAGAAAGAGTGCGATAATGTTTCGGACTCGGACTTTACCTCATCTGACGTTATCTCTTCCTCCAAATCCACCGTGCTGAGTCTGCCTATCTGAAATATACTGCCTCCTCCAGACAGCTACAGACACCACAGACAGCAACAGAAATATATATGTATATATATATATATGGCTATGTGGAGTAATTTCCAGGCTTATGTTTTGACTTCACACAGATGTTGATATTCAGATCACCGCAACAGGGACTGCAATGGACACAACACTTTTCTGACCAATGAGAGCTACAAAGCCCTATTAAAGCTGAAATTCTGTTTATTTTATTGATTTAAATGAATCAATAACATATAATCCCTTCAACGTATAATAGGATAACCCTTCTCCATAGTACTTACTAACAAAAGAAGTGCACTTAGTTTACTTCCACCTTCCTCCTGCTGGTGCAGGAGGTAAAGGACCAGTCCTGGTGGCATTGGAGGAAAAAGGAAGTGGGATTTTCCAGTGGGTTTCGATATTAGATGGACAGCACACTTCCCTCAGTCTACAGACAGCAGGTCTGCTATCTCATTATATATATACGACATTAAGTGTTTGATATTATTTTTTAAAAATTTATTCTGCCCTAACACCCTAAAATCAACTTTATACAGGATTGAAATAGTGTCTTTAACAGACAAAAATTACCTGTTGGCCAATGTAACATGACTTTACGTCATTTTCACCCCTTCTTAAGTTAGAACTGACATTAAGCTGCTTACAAAGATGAATTTGCCCTTAATTTACCACCTGACTGCCTTTTCCTGTTTCAATTTAACTAGTGAATAAGCTCAGTAACAAGCGAGTGTAGGGACTAGCTTTTGCAAAGTCCCTGTAATTTGTTATTTTTTTTGTTATTTTTCTATGTAAATTAATCTAATTGCGTGCATGGTGTAAGTAATTTCATGAACACTAATTCAATTTCCTTTCATGCAGCCACATTCCGTCCCAAACAAAGCTTGTTGCATCTGATGCCCCACTGCAAACATACAATCACACGACATGAAAACACCCCCCAAAATGAGCGCTGTGTACGCAGCAATGCATTAAAAATCCATCACAAGCATACATGACCCATGCAGCATATAAAAACATGACTCAACGTAACCTTATACCGGCTAATAAAACCATGACACAGCATATTTTAACGCCGCGAAAGGTACAGGAGCTGTCAGGCTAGCTTAGCCAGCTATGCTAGCTTTAGCTAACGTTACCTGTCTGGAGTGTCGGGGCTGCTCGGAGCCGTTGAGCAGCGGTGTCCCCTCCCCGGCTGCCCCGGACTCCTCGGCCCGGCTGGACCACGACACTTTCTTCGTGATGTTCGCCATGGTGGCCTCCAGTAGCTCGCCGCCCGAACCGTCAGTAATTTATTTCATTAACTGCGGTTGTTGTCTGTTGCTAGCTAACTACTGTTATTCTCCCTCAGCTCCCCATGACCATTCCTGTCACTCGTGACGCTTTGTAAGGCTCGCGTGCATGGCCAAAATATCCGTTAGGCGCGTTGGATGCTGGGAGTGGTAGTTTTACTGTTTATGGGCGAAAACCGAACTATGAATGCAAAGACATGAATGCCAACAGTATGTTCACCACTGGTGCATTAAGTATCCATATCCTTTAAAGAAAGTAGTCTTACTGCGATATATAAAAGAATTTAAGTATTATTAACAAAATGTACTGTAAATTATCTGAAGTAAAGTAGGGGAAAATGCCCCCCTCAAGAACAAATCAATGTTAAATTTAAAAAAAATATTTAGATATAATTTTAGCATGTGCAGGGTGTTGATGCATAAACCAACGTACTGTTGTGAGATATAATTTGGTAGAGTAGCCAATTTCAAGTATCTCAGGTCTTATTCAGGGGTGAGGGTAGAATGGAGCGTGAGATGGATTGGCGGTTTGGTGTGGGTTCGGCAGTGATGCAGGCGCTGCCTGGTGAAGAGGGAGCTGAGCTGGAAGGCAAAGTTTTTGATTTACTGGTCCATCTATGTCCCAACCCTCAGCTCTGGGTAGTGACCAAAAGAATGAGATCGTGGATACAAGCGGTGGAAATGTGTTTCCTCCGTGGGGTGGCTGGGCTCAGCCTTAGAGATAGGGTAAGGAACTCGGAGTAGAGCCGCTGCTCCTTCGCGTCGAAAGGGGTCAGTTGAGGTGGTTCGGGCATCTGATAAGGATGCCTCCTGAGCGTCTCCCGTTGGATATGTTCCGGGCACGTCCCACTGGTAGGAGGCCCGGGACAGACCCAGAATGTGCTGGAGAGATTACATATCTCATCTGGCCTGGGAATGCCTTGGGATCCCCCAGGAGGAGCTGGAAGGTGATGCTGGGGAGAGATGTCTCGGGTGCTTTGCTTGGCCTGCTGCCCCCACGATAAGGACCCAGATAAGCAGATGAAAATGGATGGATGGAACACAAAAATAAAAATCTTATAAAAGGGGATCTTGCCCCTCTGTTACTGGGGCAAGACGCTCCCGCGATCAAAATAAGCCTGGGTCAAACACTAAATGTAATAGGTAATGAGGAATATATCACACTGCATGACCTTTCTGTTGTGATTTGTAGTTTTTGTTGGATGATTTGGTAGTTTTGTATTTTTAGATTTATGTGTATTTATGTAAAACAGTTGACGTCATGAGACATGACAATTTTCAGATTTTCTTTTCTGACAATAAAGCGAAATCAAATTAAATCAATGCAATCATTACATAATTTGATAATAGATCAACAGACTTTGCTGACAGTACATTCTCTGTTTCAACTTGTTATAGCAGGAGGAGCACAGGTGGTTAACCAATAATTTTAACAATGAATCTGTTCCATTTACTGTAGGTGTCTGTTAGTTTATTGTTGGTTAAATCTGTGCTTGACAAGTCAAAATATCAGGGAAAGATGCATTAATAAGTAAATGCTGAACCTTTGTGAAACTTTTTTATTTGTTTTTATTAAAGACAAAAATATTTGAGACATTCGAACATACAGGAGACACACACAGAATAACACACAGTCATGGAAAAGGGCAGCAACAATAAGCCAAACATAAAAAGACAACTATGTTCAGAATGGAGAATTAATGGGTCACTAACATTTCGGGCAGTACCACAGAGAGCTGAATAAAATTAATTTGTTATTTTCTGCAGTGATCTCTTGCTCCATCCAGCCCCAAGTACCTGCTTCACACTGTATGCTCATGACAGTTGACATCTACCACTATAGGCTAAAACACTGGAAATAACCCCAAACCTCCCACCCCAGTTTCTGAGAAGGGTGAGTCATTTAAGGCTCATCCCTGGGACTTATCCTGGGTTTTCTTGTCTTTTCATAAGAATGTTGTAAACAATTTAATTGCTGAACGCAGTGTTTTAGAAATGTGAGGGAAATTGCAGAAATAAGTAAAGATCATCTGTGACTCATTTTAACTACTTTTAATATACCATTCTGCCTACCTCAAGCCCTTTTTTAACTTACAAAAAGTCTGGGGTGGACAAAAACATTTGCATCCTGTCACCCTGTCTTTTATTGGACATATACCTATCCACACAGCAAAGAGATAAAACAAAAGCATCATGTGTTTTATCAAATATATTCATTTAAAAAATAAGTATTATACGTTTCTATTTGCAATCCAGAAGACAGACACAGTGGATATAAAAATAATCCAAAGACATCCACGAACAGGCCCTTTACCATTATAAAGTATTATGTTTGATAAAGTTAATATTAATAATAACAGGCTGTTTTATTATGTATCCTCTAATGTCTGACATGGATCAGGAGGAATGTGTTTCCGAAGTGAGCCTATACTGAGCTCAGATAAAATAGTCTTTAATGGACTTTACAGGTAAGTGACAAATAAAGACTAAAACATTAGCACCATTTGAAGAGTTTAATACCAAACTACCTATTCACTGGTGGAAACAGTGTTATATTCCCCCTTTAGAAGTGTTTGGCATTAAAACAATGGACATTAATATCACATTTACAGGCACACTTCTTTGTAGTGTTTAACTATTGTCTGATAGATCAATCACAAGTTAATATTGCATAGTTTATCAGTCTTACCAGTCCCAGTTTTGGTTAATCTATCTTTAATTCCAGTAAAAGTATACCGCTGCGTGTGCATCCAGCAATTTTGAAAAAATAAAATCTTAAAGGAAAAAAGTGGTTATTTGGCCTTTAAAGAGAGCCCAACCACCACAATAAATGTTGGCATTGTACGTCTCTGCAAACCATAGATATGTGACATTTGTACATTATTATGTAGAGGATATGTTGAAACTTTAGTTTTAACTGTGCTGTGCCTATGTTTAGGCACAAAAAGCACTCGATAATGGTTAAGAAATGCCATAATACATCGCTAAAAACCACCCAGGTTTGTGGGGACAAATGCTGCTGGAAACACCACGATGTCTCACTAAAAACACCCAGTTTTTTGGTGGCACAATTGCTGCAACGTGTTGCTAGAAAACACCCAGTTTTGGTGGCACAAACACCTCTGGAAATCCAATGATGTGTCGCTACAAAACACCCAGGTCTGGTGGCACAAACGGTGACGTGTTGCTAAAAGCCACCCAGGTTTAGTGGTACAAACACCTTTGGAAACCCCACAATGTGTTGTTAAAAAATACCCAGGTTTGGTGGCACAAACGTCATATTGTGTTGCTAATAGACACCCAGGTTTGATGGCACAAATGTTTCTGGATACACCACTGACATCTCATTAAAAAACAACCTGTTTGGTTGTTTTTGGTTTCAAATAGTGTTCTGCAGCTCGGCAGCTGTCTCACCATCCCCTCCACCCCCCCCAATGACAAAGTCAGCTCTTATATATGTTATCAGAACTACGTCTCTTTGGAAATATAGTTATGATATGTATGAAACGTAACATATCCATGGTTTACTGAAACTTACAATGCCAAGATTTTCTTTTGGTGACCGAGCTGTTTAAGAGGCAGGCAAGCAAGAGGCATTAACATCCCCTGCAGAAATTATGATTTAGAATAAAACTCTTCTTTTGAATCCCTCTCTGTGACGTGATCACACACAGTGCTCTAAACATTCACATGCCACCTGCTGCACCTCCCCATGTACCTCCTTTATGTCCTCCATGCCAAGCACCACCCCCCTGGGCACACCTCTTCCCTCTGCCACCCCTTCCACTTCTGACTCACTCAGCACTCGGTTCCACACCCTGAACCCCGCCACCTGCCCGACAAAACCTTCTGCAGGGTCAAACCCTCCACCAACAGTGTCCTGCTCCTGCCCCAGCACCACTGAGCCACCTCCAGGAATCTCCCAGCCCTTTCTAAAGTTGGAGCCTGAGGAAGCGAGCCGGCGGTCGCTGTAGTGCCAGAAACGGCCCTGGATGGACGACCAGAGGACACAGAGGTGGTGCCAGCGACCATCCAGGAGCGAGGACGTCGGGAGACGGCGATAGACAGGGTCTCCGATGACAAAGTCCAGGGAAGGGGAGGAAGAGGAGGCATAGAGGGGGTGGGAAGATGAGGAAGAAGAAAAGAAGGATGCAGGAGAGGCAGAGGAGTTTCGGCCATACAGAACCAACTGGTTGTCGTTGTCGTCTGTGGCATAAGAGAGCAGGGTGCCGACATGAGATGCCTCCACGCGGAGCCACAAACACACAGAGAGTTCTGGAAGGTCGGGGAGAGTCCGGAAGAAGGTGACATAGTTTTCCGCTGAGGCCGAGGGGAAGAACAGCATGGAGTCCACGTTACAGACTGCAGACAGAAGGAGATAGAAGATATTATCAATCTAATAAACGCTGGTGCTCAAATATAAAAAGAATTCTCTACAATGACTTTACCTTTTACCTTCGCCTCCAACCTTGGTTATCAAAGTGCTTTTTCATCCTTTAGTTAGTCACGTCAAGTAACATTGACTAACATGAATTATAAAGCAATGTAACAGTGAGTAAACAGACAACACTTACTGGTTGCATCCTTTTTTGGAACTGGTCTTGTAGGGATCTTGTGCCTCACAGGAAGCTGGAGGAAGTCCTCCTTTCCTCCATCCAACACTCTCACCCTGGGCTGATAAGACTCAGGCTGGGGCTGAGGGAGATCATCTGAAGCACCCTGTGGAGCACCCTGACTGTTCCCACTCTGTCTGTCTCTGTTGGGTTCAGGACGGGTTGGGGCGTTGCGCAGGGGCAGGGGCCAAGAGCGGTGACTGGGGTTGTGTAACTGGGGGTGTCTCTGGCGATATAAGTGAGGCTGGGATTGTTGCTGGAGCTGAGCATGAAGATTAGGCACAGTCTGGAGAGACTGGAGCTGCTCCTGGTGGATTGGGTAGGGCCTTATCTGGGCCGGCACCTGGATCTGTGACTGTGGAGGGTAACGGTCAGGCTGGGGTAGGTACTCTGTGGAGTGAGGTTTAGGATTTGAATACTGTGCTGGGTATTCTGGCTGAGGTCTTTGCCTCTGGGTCTTTGAATGTTTAGGCTGGTTTGGTGTTGCCTGGTATTGATAGGGCTGTGGATGTGGATGATCATCAGTCTGGGAATAGGCGATACCTTCTGATCTGGGTTGGGTGTCCAGAATCCTTCCAGGCCTCTCTCCTCTCTGTGTCTGATCTCTCCTGCTTAGATCATAGTTTTCCTGAGGTGTGATGTTGGAGCTGAAGGGCTCGCCCATCCTCCACAACCCTCTGCTTTTCCCTCCTCCATTCTGCTGCAGGACCTCGCCCACCCGGCCCTCCAGCCGGGTCACACGCAATGCCTGGTTCTTCAGGGATTCCTGCAACCCTTTCAGCCCAATGAGCAGCTCGTCACGCTGAACCTGAAGGGCAGCCAGCCGTTCCTCTTGGCTCTGGAGCTCCAGGGTGAGGTTGAAGAAATCCTGACCAGGTTCAGGCTCGGGCTTCTGTTTCTGCGCTTGGCGGCGGCTCTCTCTGAGGTTCCTCTCCATCAAAGCCAGGCGACCCTCCATACGCTTACTCTTCTTCTCCAGCTTCCTGCTCCACTCTCTGATAATGATAATCAATACGACAACACTCTTTAAAAATACTGTATTATTGTTTGTTTCTTTTATTCCAAAAAAATAAAAAAATGTACATGTCTGAAACGAAGTAGGAAGAAGTACACACTTATATTGGCCTACTTCTTCTCCATAACTCAAAACCAACCATCTGAGACATATCAGCCCACAGATATAATCACAGTTGACCTTTCGCTCTAACCTGAGACCCTCGATCTCCTGCGTCGTGGTCTGCTTGAGCTGCTCGAGGTCCTGTGTCATGTGGCGCCAGTGATCACTCAGGGCCTTAACGCGGCTCTCCAGCCCCCCTGAGAAGTTTCTGTTCTGGTTCTGGGCCAACATGTCCAAACGGGCCTGGGTCAGCGCCTGGAACTGCTGGAACTGTGTGAAGAAATGTGTTTTCACAAGTCTTTCTGCAGCTGTTTGGTAACTGATGTGAAGGTCGGGAAAATACTCAAGACCTCCAGAAGGAAAAAAAACAACATACAATCACTTCTGTGATGACTTTTCCTCTTGAGCAATCATCATTGTTGCAAGAGTTTTTCACCATTTTAGCTGCGTACCTGCAGTACTTTTACAAAATGATAACATATGTGTCCTACATTTGGAAAGAGTAGCACAGACACAGTCGAGTTGAGGGAAGCTGTTTAAAATTAAGGCTCTTTTCTTCACTGTGTAACAGAAGTACGAGTTGGAAAACCCTAATGCTATGCCTTTTAGCCCAATTATTAATCATTGTCACAGATCTTACATAACACACATTATAGAAAACACTTAAATGTGATTTAAAGGTAGGTGAAACACATCATGAATTCATCAGAGCCAGAGGCTGCAGGGACGGCAGCAGTGGTGGAAGAAGTACTTAGATCTTTTAGCTACTTAAGTAAAAGTAGTACCACAGTGTAGAAATGCTCTGTTAGAAGTAAAAGTCCTCCCTTCAAGGTTTCATTTTAAGTAAAAGTACAAAGTAGGCTTAGTAGCATCAAAAAATACCTAGAGACATACCTAGACATTTTTCTGTGGGCTGACGCAGAAGTTAGCATCCCTCGTCAAAAAGCCTGAGGGATTTTTCCATTGGATTTTGGATTATTGCAGAAAATAAGCTCTTTGGAAAACAAACGTGTATGATACTGACACATTTTGTTCACAAATACGCCCGCTTTCACGATTACCAAAGCCTAAATGCAATCGCCAGAAGTAAAAAGCTATTGTTAGGCTATAGACGAACTAGACTACAGTTGCATGACCTAACATCCCAGCCATAACAAGACTGTAAAGCCAAGTTCAGCGCAGCTCAGTGTGATGATGTTATGTAGTCTCTTTTAGCCACTTGTTAGCGACCACCTTTTTGAAGACAAAATTCACGAGTGGGGTGTTAATGACGTATTTTATGTCGTAAATGTGAAAGTCTGTTAAGCTTGTGCTAAACACAGACCTTATTTCAGGCATTTAACCACAAGCCCATTAAAAAAATCCATTGACTTCTAGACGAGGGAACTTTGAGTGCAACCTGGTCTCACTCCAAAGGCGTAGAAATCTGGTGCTTGGGCAGTGATTTAGGGTGTCAGACACTGATGAAAAAGCCATCCTTTAACGTTGGCATGATACGCAGCCAGTCACTGTTATTGTTTAATAGCGCTTGGTGGCATCAGGGGGAAACGTGTTGGGACATGAACGAAAGTTAAGGCAACAAATGTCCAAGTGGGGCGGGCAGGAGGGCGGTGGATGGGTCCAACAAACACCGACCATCATCCAGGAGAGCGGTACTCGGGTCCCGCAAGATTATAAAGCCAAACACTGTTCTTTTCCTAAACCTAACCATGTGCTTTAGCGTGTTTATTTTGAAAGAGACTGTATGTAAACGGTAAATTTCCTGTGAAAACAGAAGTGTATTTTGAAAGAAGACAATGCATGTAACAGGCAGAACTTGACACGGCGTCCCAGAACGTCAACAACCAATGCACCCAGCCTTTCATGTTGTATCTGAATGTGGAAAGTCCATGACTGAACGTTGGGGTGAGAATGTGTTGCTGAGAGATACAGAAATGCTAACTCATTTCTGTGTTTTACGACTCATTCCACAGTACAGTAAGTACAGTATCTAAGTAAATGTAATCACTTAGACTACTTTCCACCACTGGCTGGCTGTAACTGCTAGCTTACTTTTCAGCTAGGCTAGTTAGCTTTTAGCTGGACTAGCGTCAGTTTATCACGTGTCACTTCATGATGATTTAAGATTTAGCTATTATTCTATTAATGTCACATAACAGACTCATCACCACTAAGATGTTGGATAATTAAAATGATCTTTTTAAACACAGGAAACAGGAAAAAGCAGACAAATTAGCTTTAGCTAAAATGCTATCTCATCAGCTAGCCCTTGTCAGTTAGCTAGTTCTTGCTAATTTAACATCATTACAGATGTTAAAAAGCCTGATTCTGGTTTAACTACATCTTGAACAAGTATGTAGTTAGTGTTTTTGATTTATTGGGCTGATATGACAAAATGTTTTTGGTTACATTTTTTTCTGTAAAGGAATAGGTAGCTAAATGAGGTGCAATACCTCATACTAAATGGTCTAAAAAGAGGTGTGTTTTTGTATCCATAGCACCTAAAATTAATGAATATTCCATTATGATAATTTATGATAAAAAAAATTGTTTTGTTTGTTGTTGTGGCGAAATTCAACTGTAGCGTTTATAATAGAGAGAGTTGCTGCTTAATGTGCTTTAATAGTGAAAGTGTAATCCATTTCAAATTAAACTTTAAAGGTGGAGGGAGCCACATTTTTGCAAAAGAAAGTCAAATAATTAGTTAGAATAGGCTCATTAAAGTTAATTCAACTCTAACTGTTCATGCACTGTTAAAACATCTCCTTTAATCATTTTGCATAATTAAGAAAAACGCCATAATAAAACACAGAAACATACACAGTCTGATTCAAACCAACCTGTTCGTTGAGTCGTCGTAGCTTCTGAGATACGGGATCAATTCCCTGGACCTGAACAGCCTGAATCTGCAGCAGAAGCATATGGAGCAGGATCAGGGGCCAGCAGCTGAAACTGAGGCTGCCCATGGTGCAACAGAGCTGGGATAGATGCAGCTGGGAGCCTGGGTCGCTGTGTGGATATCTGGGGGTGAAGGAACAAATAGAGGAGAGAAAGACATAGCTGAACAGGGCTGGTCTTGATACACAAAGTGTGTACACACAATGAACACATGCACACACACATATACAATACACAAAAAGCACACACCCACATGCTGGGACAAGAACACACTTTCCATTTTCCACAACATCACTGGGGACCTCAGAGGAAATGCAGATGGATTTAACAGGTACTCTCTCTGCCTCTCTCTCACACGCTCCTGCACAGATGAAGACAAAGAAAAGTGAACTTGTCAAAACAGCTGATGTCTGTTAGATGGTGTTTATCAAAATGTAGAATAATGGATCACAACACAGTTACATTGATGTTTAAATACTGAGAGTTGTTGCTCTGCAAACATTATTTTGGTTTTTCTCCACTACAATACCACTTTCATAACCGTTCTGTACAACACATTACAGTTCGATATCTGCAGAAGAGGGAACAGTATATGTGTGTTATTGTAGGCTATTTGCATGTTGTGCATGTTGCTAATACCAGCAGTAAATCTCATGATGCGTGGGCTGATGGAGAAGCAGCATGTACTTTCCTCTTTCCCTGACTCAACTCGCAGGAGGGATCTGACTCCTGTCTTCCTCTTCTGCTTTCTCTTTGATTGACCCAATACAGGAATCTTCCTTTGTATCCCTCCCTTCTGCTTTCTGTTCATGACCAGGTTGCAACACTTGGGCTTTATTAACACTAGACTTTTATCATTCACATCCAACATGGATCTTAAAAGACAATGCAGATACTCTTAAATCTGTAAATAGTCAATATTTTGCATCAACATTCTGTGACAGTTATTATTCCTAAAATGTGTAATACTGAGCGTATTATTTTTGCACATCATGCACAAATTGTATTTGTTTCATATTCTGAAACAGCAATAATTTACATATTTCTTATGTAGTACTTGTTTAACGTATCATTTTTATTATTTTTATAGTGATTTTTCTGCTCCATACTTACTTATTTGCATTATTTTTTATTTCTCCTTAATATTTGCTGTTTTGGTTCATACATTAAACAAACAATAAACATTTAAATCTAATTTAATTTAATTTAATTTAATCTTTTATTTTATTTTATTTATTTATTTATTTATTTATTTTAATTAATATACCTTTTTTGCCCTTGTGGAGACATAAAGTATATAAAATTAAATCAAAATTAAGAAAATAAAATAAAATAAAATAAAATAAAATTAAATTAAATTAATACTTGTATTGTACATTTAATGTATGCGCCAAAACCAAAAGCAAATTCCTTGTAAATGAAAACCTACTTCGTAATAAATCTGAAATTCTGATGAAAAAAAAATAAAAAAATAAAAATTATTAATTAATTAAAAAACAAAATAAAAAATAATCTCTTCCACAGTTACTGCAGCCTATTAGAAATATTCAATTATTCACATATTCCACTGCAGTGTCTCTTGTGAAAGCCCAGTGTGGACAGAGTTTCCAGTTTCACTTTCCTTGTGACTGTACTTAAAGCTAACCACCGTCAGTTTCAGTCTGACAGCCTGGAAACCCCTGGAGCACACACACAGCTTATCACCTGAAAAGTGCAGATATTAGTCTTTGTATTTCTCCAGCCTGCTTTCATTTTCTATCCTAGCCTGCGAAAGAGGATCATCTTTATTGGAAGCTTCACTGGAGCAAGATGAACTTTAGTTTTTTTGTCTGGCAGCGTTTTTAGAAGGCAGAAGTAGTACTTCACCGCTTGGTGAGGAGAACAAACAGAGCCGGGAACAGAATATTCAAATCAATCACCTCTGATAAGGCTTGGCTGTGCAGGCTGCTGCAGACATGGGTGAAGAGACTCCACTGCTCAACAGACCAACATCATCTGAATCCAGGGTATGAAAAATCTGACTTATAAATAGCCTGCAAATGTACTCCGTGATTGACTGATTTAACATGAACAAAAAAAGATAAATTCTCATCATGTTGAGGGATTACAGTGGAATTTATTGTGGGGAAATCACAGTATTATTTCAGACAAGTCTGTAGTGTTCAATCAGTCCTAACTGTGCATTTGTCTAATGCAAATTAAACTAGGGCTGCAGCTAGCGATTATTTTCTCAAGTGATCCAATTGTTTGGTCTATAAAATGTCAGAAAATGATAGGAAAAGATGGTCAATGTTTCCTTCCTTCCTTCCTGTCCTTGAATGTCTTGTCTTGTCCTCAACCCAAAGATATTCAGTTTACTCTTGTAGAGAAGTAAAGAAACCAGAGAATATTCATTTATTTTTCTTAAAAACATTAATCAAACTGATGGATAGGTTATCAAATTAGTTGACAATTAATTGAAGAGTTGAAAGCTTGGAGCTTTGAATAAGCCAGGATAAAAACTGTGGAGTGAGTCATGAGAGGAGGAGACCAGGGTATCCTGTGGAAATACAGCAGTGAGGAAACAGTTAGTTGTTTTTGTTTGTCTTTTTGTTAATCCTGATCTTGACCGTTGACTGAGCCCGAGCACAACATGTGAGCTCTGCTAAAGGTCTGCACTGCACTGAGATTTATTATTACTGGAAGTTTCTTTGTATTATGTTACACTCTTCACTGAGTTATCCCAATAAAATGTCCTGTAAGTATTTTCTGCAGAAGTGAAGGGAGCTGAGCGGTCAGCTGTGTTTCTTAAGTCTGAATTCATGGCAATTAGTGCAACTAAATGTGGTCAGAAACTACATGGCTTTGTGTAGCAGATTAATTTAGACATCTATAAGACGCCCCAGCCCCAGAGAGTCTAGAAAGTGACTCAAGGTCATTGCTGAAGACTAAAAGGGTGATTTATTCACATACTGTAATAAAGATGCATGTGCAAGAGTGTAGATTTCGTTTCAACATTCAAAACTCATAATCAAAGTGAGGCATGACCACATGTGCGCACAGCTACATGGAGATCCTTCCCTAAACAACAACTTCCTTAAATAGTTCCTATAATCTACTGCACAGTCTGGTCTAGGCTGAACCACATTTTATCAGGTAGTTGAAGTACTGGCTAAAACAAAAAAAGAAGCACGCATTATTAGTGGTACAAATAAAGAAGTGTGAACTGAACTGTTTCTGTTGATTAACCCGATCAACCTGACTTGCAGGATAGGCCATCTAATTGTAAAACATAACTGAAGTGTTGCTGGGTTGCAAGAAATTCAGTCTGGTTTAAATGTTGCACTTGCAGAAAGCATCATGGCTGAAACAGAAGCTTTCAGTGCAGTAAACGTACAGTACATTAACCAAACTAAAGTCAGTTTAAATCCTTGCTGTCACACTGTGGCCCTCCGTTTTTTTTTTTTATATCAAGGCACAAAGTTGGTTAAGTAATCATTTCTGGGAAGCTTCTTACTGCATTTTCCAGAGACCACATGTCCTTATGCAAAAAATTCTGTGATGACTTCATCTTTAGATGTTCTGCAGTTAACTTTGGGTCAAACCAGAAACAAAAAACACACTTCCCTTCTCACCAAGATTAGCTCTGAATCATAAAATATAGTGTTTACTGTAGTTATTTCATCTGGTTTTAACTTGTCCCCATCCTTCCACCCCAGATCAATAACTCCAGACTGTACCTGGCCGTCTTCGCGGCCGTCCTGGGGAACTTCAGCTTTGGTTACTCTCTGGTCTACTCGTCTCCGGTCCTGCCGAAGCTCAAGAGCCCTGATGCTGACCCTCAGCTCAGGATGGACACGGAGCAGGCGGCCTGGTTCGGCTCCATCTACACACTGGGTGCAGCAGCCGGAGGGCTGGGGGCCATGCTGCTCAACGACTTGATCGGACGGAAGCTGAGCATCATGATGTCAGCAGTGCCTTCGACGATAGGGTCAGTCACAATGTACAGACATCAAATTAGGCAACATAAGGGAAAAACCCTGTGTGAACAGACTGTAGGTGAGCAGCAGCTATAAATTTTCATACCAAATGAAAGGTCGCTTCATGAAATACTTTGCAATATTGCTGATTAAACTAAACTGTATGATAAGTAGCTCAAATTTGCTTTATCTTGATGAGCTACAACAATATCATGCTACTTATACTTTAATGTTTTGTGGTAACAAATGAATAATTTAACACTGACGGTGTCCACTCCTTGTAATAAGTACTGCAAAACTTTAATTAATAACCCGGGCTATTATTTGCTTAAATCACTGAAATCAACAGGTCTATATTTGGGACAGGCCTTTAATTCCTTTCACACAAAACTGTTGTTCAGCGAAGATGGAACATACAATCAAATTGTTTATTTAAACTAGTATGAATATTCTGTGTATAAAAATTAGGCTTAGGAAAATATATTAGTAATGAGTCATTCATTTGGTCATGCTCGGACAGACAGCGCATCAGAGTGAGAGTGAGTTATGAGAACACATTCTCACTCTGGCCTTGTCACATATTGACATTTGGTCATGGACCCTCCACGTCCAGATGCGACGTTAAAGGTACCCTGGGTGTGTTGGTTGTTGACTTTCTTGGACACCGTGTCAAGTTCTGCCTGTTACATGCATTGTCTTCTTTCAAAATATACTGCAATATGTCGGTATAATAACGCAAATTGACGTTTTTTCCTCCAACAACTAACGCAGGTGGTTGGATTCAGGCAATAAAAGCACGTGGTTAGGTTTAGGGAAAAGAACAGGGTTTGACTTTATAATCTTACAGGATGCGAACACTGCTCTCCGGGGTGACAGTCAGTGTTTGTTGGGCCCATCCACCACCACTGCTGCCCACCCTACTCAGACTTTCGCTGCTTTAACTTTTGTCCTTGTCCCATAGCGTTTACCCCAGATGCCACGTAGTGCTATTCTACTATAACGGCGACCTGGGTATCATGCCGACGTTAAAAGACGACTTTTTCTTGTCAGTTTCTGACGCCACAAGTCACTGCCCAAGTACCAGATTTCGCCAACTTCAGAGTAAGACCACCTCATTACGGCAATTGCGGATTATGGCACCCAGCACTTTATCCTCTAAAACATTACTCACCACTTTTTATGAAAAACGCTTTCGATTCTTTTGATCTGAGGAGCCTTACAGACTAAATAAATAAGAATAACTTACAGGGTAATCGAGGAGTGGACACATAATTTGAGGCAGTCAACAACCTCGTTTCTATAAAAAAAAAAAAAATTAAAAAAAAAAAAAGAAGAACTGCTTGGCAACCAGGCCTCTAATTGAGACAGGCCTTTATTTTTCAAAATGTGTAGCCACACTGGGCATGTAAAACGTTTAATTGTGACTAGGCTTTTAAATGAAGTTTTACCCTACTTTACTTTTGACACATGAAACACAATTTTTTGATAATAGTAACTTTTACTTAAAGTGGAGACAGACTTTTAGTTAATAGACAATAATGACATTATTCTATAGCCATTACATTGTGCAATTAGCATTTACTTCTTAATGATAATTTAAAGCAAAGCATGTATTTCCACTTTGAGAAAAGTGCATTTGCATTTTGAATGCAGGACAAGAAAACCCAGAGAAACATCTGCATATTGTGTACTGCAAAAAGGAGACATCATTAGATAACTTTACTGTACATTGTCTGTTCTGAGTAAATTAAAATCCATAGATGGGTCATGGTGTCTGTGTTTGAGTCTGAGTGTACTGTTAACTTTAAAAACTCCTCTCTGTATGTGCCTTAGATACATGCTGATGGGAGGGGCTTTCCACTTGTGGATGCTTCACGTGGGCCGTTTCCTCACAGGTGTTGCTGGTGGGATGACCGCAGCATCCATCCCTGTAGGTTACCATGGTTACAGGAACTTTTATTTTAACCTATTTGTGCAAGTTTTTTTCTTTTTGTCCCAATTACCTCTTTTTTTACCAAATAGTTTATTATGATGATGCTGACAACAATTGTGTAAAGTTTGTGATTGTATGTTTTTGTTCATGTGGGTAAATCGCAGGTTTACATCTCAGAGATCTCCCACAAGGCAGTGAGAGGAGCGTTGGGCTCCTGTCCTCAGATCACTGCTGTGTTTGGGGCACTGGCGCTCTACGCCATGGGTAGGAACATACCAATATGGCTGCATAAATACTAATTTCGAGCATTGTTTATAAACATTAAGCTGACACTCCTATCCTGAAAACGAGTCTACTTCCTGCTTCCACTCTCTCATAATCTGAATATCACGTATGATGTGCAGGTCTGGTGATACCTTGGCGGTGGCTGGCAGTGGCGGGGGAGGTGCCAGCTTTGCTGATGGTTGTGCTGCTAGCGTTCATGCCCAGGTCCCCCAGGAGGCTCCTCGTTCTGGGCCAAGAACAGAAGGCTGAGAGGGTCATCCGCTGGCTGAGGGGAAAACACTACGACACACAGTCTGAGCTCAGTGCCATAAAGGTAAGAGGGTCATGGTTTTAAGACTGCAACATCATACTCAACCCAATTGCCAGAATAAATGTCTGCGTTGTCTGTGTTTCTGCAAACCACACACATGGAACATTTGTACGTTATCATGAGGTGAAAATGTTGAACCTTTACATTTCTACAGCACTGTGGTTATCATTTAGTTATGCTTAGGTACAAAACCACATAGTTATGGTTAGAAAAAGATCATGCTTTGGCTTAAATTAACCAGTTTTGGTGGCAAATCACAGCTGGAAATGTCGCCAATGTCAAACTGGTTTGGGTGGCACAACCGCCGCTGGAAATGGTCTCTTTCAGTCAAACTTATTCATGGGCACATGGAGAACAGACAAAAACATAGGAGGCCCTTAAGGTCTGCAGTAAGTAGTTGATTAAATTTGTGGTAGCAGGCTTGGAGCAGTACAAAATATAGTGTATACAGTATTTAAGTATGAAGAAGAATGTGTGAGTTTGTGAGTGCACAAGTGGAAATGTGTCTGAATACCCAGGTAGTAGTAGTATGCCCTGTAATTGTAATTTGCAGTGTCGAATTTGCACCAGTGAATGTTTTGCACGGGTCCAATGTTTTGTATTGTAATGTCTGGTTTGACGCAGCAGTTTCCCTTTATCCAAGACAAATGTCTCCCAAGGGAGAAGGGAGAAGGGAATAAAGTAACCTTGAACATGCTAAAAACACAAAGAAAAACTACCTGGTTCTGGTGGCAATAACCCAGCTGGAAATACCGCCAATGTCTTGCTAAAAAAAAAACTCAGTAAGTGGAAGTGTTGCAGATGTTTTACTAAAACACTAAAAACCACCTGGTTTTGGTAGCACAAGCATGACTGGAAATATTGCCAATGTCTTATTAAAAAACAACTAGCTTTCTAGGTACAATCACTGCTGGAAATACCACCAGTGTCTTGCTAAACACACTAAAACACCTGGTTTTGGTGGCACAAGAATGGCTGGAAATACCACCAATGTCTTGCTTAAACCCCCCCTGATTTTGGTGGCACAGTTGCTGCTGGAAGTGTTGCAGATGCCTTGAAAAACACCTATTTTTGGAGGCAAACTCACAGTTGGAAATGCCATTGATATCTTGCTAAAACAAACTGCCTGTTTTGTTGTTTGCTGGTCTCAAACATCGGTCTGCAGCTTGGCAAATGTCTCGCCTAGGTGTCACGTCATCCACTTTTCCAATTGAGACTTTTAAATAAATGTAAAGATGTTCGCACACATGTTTATCTGTTTATCTGTGTGTGTCCCAATGCAGCACAGCATCAACACACAGGGTAAAGTCACATGGTCAGAGCTGGCCACACCCAACTACTACCGGCCAATCTTCATCTCAGTGATGATGCGTTTCCTGCAGCAGATGACGGGCATCACGCCCATCTTGGTGTACCTGGAGCCCATCTTTTCCAAAAGCAAACTTCCCCTCGAGGCCAGGTCTGTTCTTTATTTATGTCTATTATGTATCTATTTATTCCTCTTTTATTTTAATCACAAAATCTGTTTGGTCTGTTCCTGATACTGATCCCTCCGCGTTCTGTGTCTGTCAGGTATGATGCTGCCATTGTGGGTGCGGTCCGCCTCTTTTCTGTTGCCGTGGCAGCCTGTTTAATGGACAAGGCAGGACGGAAAGCCCTGCTTTACACATCCAGCATGCTGATGTTCCTGTCCACGCTGACTCTGACCATGAACTCCCATACCACACCTTGCCCTCCAGGCCCCGTCCCTCCTAATGTCACTGTGGGTTTGGACTACACTTTGGCTGCTAGCCACCAATCTGCAGCAAGCCTCATTCCTCTCATCAGCACCATGGTGTTTATATTTGGTGAGTGTTTCAGGAAACTTGTTTTGATCAAAATCCGGCTCTATCTAATCACACCTTTGTCTTTAGCCGTGGTAGCAGCAATGTTGGTCGTCATTCAGTGCACCACTTTAAACTGAAATATCTGAACAACTTGCAGATTATCATGAAACTTGCTTTAGATATTTTAGGACCCCCTCTAATGAAAACATTTTTAACCTTGTTAACACGTCCACATAATGTTTTTCATATGCTACAAGACGTATCATAAGTGAAATAAGCAGTCAACGCCATGGCTGAGCATTTCTGCCGTAGAACAGCAGTGTACCAATGAAAAGCACAGATTCAATCAGCCAGGGTTTCTTACGTCACAAACCTAAGGAACCAATCCTGTCAACTTGCATGACAAGGCTTTCCATATCATTAGGCAAGGCAAGGCAAGTTTATTTGTAGAGCACAATTCGTACACAAAGTAATTCAAAGTGCTTTACA